AATTTTTTAGATGTCTTCTAGACTTCTTTTGGAGTTTCATTAATAAAATAATATTTTGACACAATATTTTGATAAATTTCAATATTAGATCTATCTAAATCTATATATTGAATATATCTTACATATTTGTCTAAATATTCGCCAATAAACATTGCAATATAATCAACTCCAGCTTCAACTTCACCAGCTTCATTAGGATATCCTAAAGCAGTTATATATTATTATATTTGTTAACCTTTATCAGAAATGGACGAAATTTGATACCAGTTAATAATTGCTCTAATATATAAGAATCATCCCAACTTAAAACTTGTGGACCAGAAAAATTTATATGACTATTTTAATATATGTGTCTATAAAAGATGTGATTGCAGGACTAAATGTCTCTTCAATATTACTAAATTTTAGTTCAAATAATTAGGTTAATGTTTATATTTTTCATTGCCTTCTAAAACTTGAGTATAAAAGTTTTTATTGCTTATTTCTAAACAGTTTGCCATCCAACACATATTGGATAAAGATAAGCTCTATTTTCCAACTCTTTTTCACCTCATGTAGTTCATCAGCTGCAAGTATCAATACTATAATGCAAACAGGAAATAATAGCACCAAAAAAATCAATTTTATATTTAATTGAAATCGTTTGTTAGTTATGAAGTAAAGAGACAGAAAGCTTTGTAAAGTAAAATTAGATAAAATTATTGTTTTCAAAAAGTAAACAGTAAGATCACATGACAATTTAAGAATCAGATAAAAAATAACTTTGCTAACTTTTATTGCAAAATTTTCATCAATCTTTTGCTTTTTTTTTGGATGTTCTATAGAATAGATAGGCAATATAAAAAATAAGCTTCGCTAATGATTAGTAATCATTAATTTTTTAATATTGGAATTGTAGAGTTGACAGAGTTTGCCCACCTATTCTATAGATCAACCTTTTTTTTTTTTTAATATTAATATTTAAATAAATCAACTTTGTAATTTAAATTTCAAGATAAAAGAACCAAAATGTAAGTGTTTTGGATATATAATTCTGCAATTTTAAGATGGTAGTAGTTTACAAAGCAAGTGATTCATAAATAAGTATCAGCATTTAGAATTTTAATAAAAATAAAATTAGTACAAATTCTGAACCTTCTAATGCTATTATTTAAAAAAAAAATGAAATTCATAATAGAAGTATCATAATAGTAACTTGTAGCTATAAATGAATTACAGCAAAAAATGCTGTAACTCATTATAATTATAGCAAAAAATGCTATAACTCATTATAGTTATAGTAAAAAAATGTATTACCCTGCATCTCTAATTTGTAGATAATACAACTTTAAAAAAATATAAACCTTTGATAAGATTACTGAATATCAATAATTTAAATTTTTTAAATTTAGTATTAGAGCTTAACAAATTGAAGTTTTTGTAATAAATTTATATATAAAAAAAATAGCCAAAAAGTCTAAAACAATTTTATTTTTTTAAAAATATAAGTTTATACTAAAAAATTTATGTAATTTAATTTTTGGTTCTAGATTATTAAATACTAATAATTTTATTATATTAATTATCTTCACTGATTATTAATAATGATCTTTTGATTGCTTCTGAATTATAAATTAAAAGATAAAAATAATGCAGAAAAAGCAGAAAGAAATAAAAAAAGGAGAAAGAAGAAGAGATTATTAAAAATATAAAAAATAGATAGTATAATAGTTTTAAAAAATTAATTTAAACTAATTATAAAAAGATCTGAACAATTTACAAACAGCTAAAAATTTACAAAAATTACTAA